CTTTTCACACCACGTGAGACACAATCTCTCCTGCAGATGCACAATGTTCTTTGCTGGGGCAGGTTCAAGACTTGAAACACTGCCCACAAAGGACTGCCTCAGACTGCAAAAGGCCAAAGTAGGGGCTGTCCTTCACACATCCTACAAGTCTCCTGAGGCTTAAAGGCCACATTCATCTTTAAATAGAAAGGTTTATATTAAAAGAAGAAATGGAAAGAAGAACGGTTTCCCAAGTCCATAGGTTCCTTTAAGGAACCCACTGCTTCCCCCTTTTTGAATCATATGGAACACTCCTAACCTTTGGGAAGTTAAATGTCTGTCCAAAATGTATAAGGATTACCTTTTGATGAAGAACTATCCATTGGGATGCCAGCTTTTAACATCAGAGAAAAATTATCTTCCCCCGAGACCAAAATTTTAGGAACAACATATCCACTAAAAACCTTCCCAAAAGTCTAGACTTTGTTTTCTGTTCATGGACTCACAAAAGACCACTTAAAATCCCTAAATCTGGTGGCCTAGATGTTTTCCATTGTGACTCTATTCATAGTTGGGAGTTACCCTTTTTGTTGTTCTTCACCATCTGTCACTTGAACTGCTAGACTGGAATCATCCTCCAAAATCTCTGCCTTCGACCATCTTTTCCTCTTGTGTTCTCTGGTGCAGCCAGGGTAGTCTTAATGAGTTTGTCTCTTACCTACAGACACTTAGTATTTTCCCCTGTCAGACAGGATTTCCAAAGTTTCCTACCACTGTTGTCACTGATTCAGTTGTGCTGCTGTTTCTAGTGCTGGGAGTGGAGCACCCTGGGCTTTCTTTCTGTTTTATATTCCAATCCTTTCTAAAGCAGTCTAGCAAGTACATCTTCTACCCTGGGCATCCTCACTCATGGCGGAACTGAACCAGAAGTAGCAGTAGGATGAAATTTTAGTGGGGCAAACGTTGGTACAGTCACAGGCTGCACTGAGGATTTTTTCAAAAGAATGGTACAAGAATATATGTGGTGTGGGGTTGTAAATATCCCACCCTCTTTGTTTCTCTCTAAAGGGAGAACAGCTATGCTCCCACACAGAGAAGGTAAGTACTGCATCTTTAAGGTCTCAGCAGTGAGGTAGAGGAGAGGAACATATTGTCAGTGTTTATACCTTTCTTCTTTGTTGAATTTGGGATTGGCTTCAGAGATATCCAGGCTTTTACTGAACATTGTTTTACTATGGCAGGAACAAAGCGAGAAAACAGAGTTACTAGTGTGGACATTCATAAAAGAGAGTCACCTGAAGCAATGCTGGACACCCAGCCCCCCAACCCACCCTCCCCTTTTTAAACAATGCTCTGAAAAACCTTTCTTTTACTTCCCAACTATAGCTCAAGCCTACGCAGTGCTGATGTTCATTATCTTCCCCTGAATTTGGAGGTCTGTGATGACTTCCCCCTTACATGCTTGTAAACCCTGCTCTCCTTCATCCAACTGAAAACCGAGGTACCATCTACTTTGTCACATTGTCCAGGGAAAACAGAACATGCCTGAAGGCATAAACTGCAAAACACTCATTACTCGAGGCTTCTCTAGAAGACCTCAACATTAAGCACAATGCGGGAAAAGGTTAAAATCAGACCATGGAGCCTCTTACAGGAACAGTAATCAATTCTGTGTTCTCATTTGTAGGGTTCGTTATCACTTACTCCCAACTCTCTTCCCTGTACTCAGTGTATAGAGAAATGCCCTTCTTTATCATCTTGGGTCTGAATCCCTGAAGCTTAGAAGCAAAATTCCCTATGCTTTGCTAAAGGGGCAGCTCTCTGTAAGATGTTTCCCTGGTAATATGCTTCACTGTTTCATAGAACACTGCTTCCTAATGTTAGCTGATCTTTCATGCAAGCTATCCACTTCAATAACCAGAAGAAAATGAATAGTTAATGAAGCCCATTTTAGAACAGTTTTTGGACTCCCACAGCAGAGCTGCTGAAAATTTTTGGCAAGGGACTCTAGCTCCCATGGAATTCTTCCTAGTCTGTGTGATTTTGGCACAAGGAACAAATTAGCTGGTACTAAACTAAGCTCAGAACCTACTTCTTTTCTTTTGACATTTCAATGAAATACCAGATAGTCTGAAAGGTGTGGATACCACAACAGCAGAAGTAATTAAGATGTAATTATAAGCTCATTCAGTTGACAACTAGCAGGGAAAACCAAGAATTAACAAAACTTAGTTATCAGTTTTAGGGTGGCTGGTGTTTGTGCATACTAACTTTGCCATATACAAAGACCCAATGGAGAATAGTTGGAGAGGTCAGCACAAGCATTTCAAGGAGTCTGTAAGCTCAACACACAGCCTTTGTGCTGAGTTGCCCTCCTCTGTTATCCAAAGCTAAGTCACCGAAGGACTGTGCTTTTCACTTAATACTTTCTCAGCCTGTAGAATTGGAGGCTGCCAAGTTTCAAATCTCAATGGAAACATATGCCCTGACACAAGGGAAGACCAGATACCTGTAGGCTCTCCACGTGGCTGCCAAAAGCACAGTTCATTACAGACACATGAACCAGAGGTTATAACATAAATCCCCTTCATGCAAGCAAATATCTGTTTACTACTGGGAAAGAGGACAGCAGGACTAAAGCACAAGACACATGGGTGTGTTTTGCCCACTGGTTAGAAAAGTATCTCTGCCAGTTCAAGAAAGAAGCAATAGCTCTGCGTCTCGGGATGTTTACACAAGTCATCTACGTCTAAGCGGGAGACCTGTTTCCATGGTCCACCTCCCTGCCTTCCTGTTACTGTAGGATAAAGGCACTGAATGGCCATCTGTTGAGATCAAAAAATGTCATTTTTAAAAAAGCATCCACCTCTGGGATCTAAGCCCTACTGCTGCAAAATCCACTGTCAGTGGGTCATCGCATGGAACATAATATGCAACTAGCCATTAAAAATCTCCCACTCTTGGTGGAGGGCACTTGTCATTTTGTTACTGACTATTCTGACAGATGGTGTCCCATCAGCAATACATCGTCCCCAGACAATCCCCATGCAGTGGTGTTCGTTAATGAAGCTGGTTCACGTTATAAATGACTGCGCTGCCAGCAACACAAAATGTGCCATTGTCATCTGTGGATGTGGATGGTATGAATTATGGAAGCTCACACATGGAGTAAAGAACATCTTCCCTTTAACACCTTCCAAAACAAGCACTACCAAGCCCACCACTATCAGTTATGGTGCTATTACATCCCTTTCTCCACCCTTAATCACACCTTTATGTCCAGCCCTGAGTTGTCATATCAATTGAGCTTTATCTCTTGAGTGCCTGGCAGGTTTCACTTCCTCCTTAAGACAAAGCCCTTCTTTACTGACATGTAGCCTGGGTACGTCTTTGCTCTGAACTCATCTCAGACCTTTGGACTTCAATTGTTTCCTCATGTGCAGAACTGAGCGAGATGTTTAAAGGCAAAATAAATACTTTGGATATCAAGACACAGCTTTGCCTCTTCAGACTTTTGAATCCAAAGTTAAAGCTGAGAGCTGGAAGAGATGGTTTCAGCTCTCAGGAAACTTCAGGATCAGTCTAACACCTTCTATTTGTTCCACCCAGTTGGACACTTGTAAACAGCTGCAGAGTACTGCAACTCACAGGCAGCCTTCGGGTGGGGGAAAGTGATTCACCTCTGTCTGGCTCTGGAAGCTTCATGGCCCATGCATCTACCAGGTACCAGATAAAACACTGCAAGGTGAATAAGGAGTGAGCAACTGTTTGTCAGTGTTGTATTCATCCTTACCACTTTGAGGCCTATGAGGAACACCCTATCTTGAACACTTCCTTCACCCAGACTTCACATCAAAGCAAACCACACATTGAAAACAGGTTTTCAACCTACACTACAATGAAAAATCTTTATGGCAGAGTATCTCAACACCATATATCCAGTCCGAAATGAGTTCTAGCAGATTCTGGAAATCACCGCTTTTTCCTCACTGTAGACAGAACTGCAACAGTTGCCAGCAAAACTTTCCAGCAATTCTAGAGGTCCCTGGACATGAAAATATTTCAGGTTCTTCACCCAGCTCTCAGTCAGCAAAGGGCACACGAGGCTCTTTTTGAGCAGATCTTAATAGATGAACAAAAAATCATGTCATAAAGCTGAAACGGAAGTTATAGCATCTTCAGCATACATATATGTGAAGTGTTCTTTTATATTGATTGATTTATGCAAGTGTGAGTCCGAATGAATGTGCTTCAATTAGGCTAGTCATAGGGACTGAGGAAACAACTTCCACACTTCACTTACTCTCCCAGAACCTGCCTTGAGGAGACACCATTTTACTCTGCTGTTTCTCCACAAGACTGGCACTTTCTTTGATAGAAAAGAGGCAAGATTACACATATTGCATCACTTTACAGATAATTCATGTGGATCACATGCATGCTGGTTCTCACAGCACACATTAGAGGGACCTACAGATGACTGGACAGGGCTTTCCATATTCAAGCTGTTCTGATGACACAGAGAGTAGGTTTCATCTCATTCAACTTCAGGTATCCAAAAGCTAGGCACCTAATCCAAAACAGTCATCTAGACTTCTATAGTCGGCTATGGAGACAGAGATCTATCACATCTAAGACTGCTGGAACAGAGAATATATGTATTTCAGACCTTCCAAAGCCCTCATCAGTCCCCACTGACTAGAGTGACAGCCTGCATCACAAGCTTAGACTGAGTGCCTGTGTTCTTGACTATTAAAAAGAGGTGGGATGAATCTTGCCCAGAGGACGTGGTGGTTTCTTAAGCAATAGCTGCAAGCAAGCAGAACCCTTAAGCCCTTGGCAGGACTTCTGGTCCTCTGTGCATAAGCACTGCTGGCTGCCAGATCATGTTGCAAATATGCTCGGAAGTTGTAATCAATGCTGGTGCGAATAGAAAAGCTCCACAGCTTCTTTGTATGTGTAAGACTAAAGGGAGTAGCAAACCCAGACAGGCAGGACTCCTGGGTAAAGGAGAGACCCACCTCTGTCCATGTTGTGCCATTTCAATAGCTCTGCGAGCAGGGACTGGGGAGCCGCCATCTGTCACACTGAGAACCTCCATTGACTTCCTTTCTGGCCGTCGCTTTCCATGCCTGTTCAACATTGGGGAGTCCACACGCTTCCTGGGGGGATCTTTATGAAAAGAAAATGCTGTCAGCTGAATTAGCCTGTGACTTACCTCACACAGGTTGGTTAAATCCCCTCTCAACAATCTCACTCTCACACCTCCCCTACAGAGACAGGTATCTTCATGATGGAAATGCATTTGCAGCCTCTCATTCCAAATTTGCAAACATTAAGACATAAGTTGCAATCCAGCTACAGAGAGAAGAAGCTCTGCTACTGCCTGGAATGTACAAGCACTGTAAAAGGAAGGTACAACTATAGCACAGCTTGCATAAATTACCTTACAAAGCTTATAACAGTAATAACAAGATGACAGCATGGGCTGTAGCACAAGCTGTTAGCCCGAGTATAAGCCATCTAGGGATCCTGTATATGTACTCAGGTTGCTAGAGCTTGCCTTCGATGTCCCTACTAGCTAGATTAAATGTGACACGGAGACATGAGTACACTGTGAACTCAGAATTGCATTCTCCTCTGAAAACACATCCCTTTTTTGCATCTTCAAGATTAGATTTCAGGTCTTCCCTACTACTTTATTTTTTTCTTCCTTCAGCATGAAATATTCTTGTCTACCTGAGATGAATCTCCAATGAGAAATACTAAAATTTACCTCAGAGGTTGTCATACAGCTTTTACTGGTACAGTAACTGAAGTGCTTCACATTTTTTATTGTGTAATATTTCTATGAGGTATTGAAGTGTTACTTTCACTTTGCAGTGTGAAAACGGAGGTAGAAGAAAGATATTTAAAGGCAACTCATTCCTAAAGGTGCTGACAAACATTTACTAAGGCTCTGAGGAGCACCTAAATTGTTCTGAAAAGCACTGAAGAAAGTTCTAGGTGATTTGCCAAACCATACACACCTCCATGGCGAAGCAGGGAAACTCATGCAGACCTGCTGAGACGTTTTATTACTAACATCTCTCATGGTATCAAAACACTAAAATAGCAGAAAAAAGACAGAGAAGGATTTTCTTTTCTTTGGTTGGGCTATTTCAGGTCTCTGCCTCTATCTGTACACATATTTTTAATTTTAGGTGATCACCTGTAAAAAAAAGGCATCCTTCACCCCTGCAGTTAGAAAAATGCTCACAGTGCCCAGTCCCTAAGGCTTCTTCCTCTGCCAGGATTCCTCTGTAAAATCAGTAATACTGCATTTGACAATTCTACGTCTACTGTCTAGTCTGATGGCATTATTTTTATTATCTTGCCCTCCTCACGCCCCTACCTACTTGATTGTTTCTTCTCTCTCTCTCTCGCATCATGTTTTGTAGAATAAGATCCCTTTAAGACACGGCTTATTCTTGAAACAATGAGTGTGAGCAAAGACAGCTCCAACGCAAATGGGCTAGTGATAACAACTGACCCCATTACTGTATAATCCACGTATTCTTTGGATTAATAGTAATAATTTTCCTGCTAAAAATTAATTAGAAAAAAAAGCAGTTGCATATCACTCCATTTCAAACCAGGTCCAGTAATAAAAAGGTAGTAGAAAATACTAGTAGGTGTAATGACCTCCAGATTATGAAAAATATACAGTGCATAAAGTTAATGGAAAAACAAAGGCAGATAAACCTAATAAAGCAGTTACACTGGGGGACTTCAGCTGCACACTTATAAGTGGTCAAAATTAAGCTGGGACAAGGTTAAGACATTTCAAACTCCTGCTTCTTCAAATAAGTTCAAAGAATGAGAAAGGATTCGTTCCACAGGACAACTGCTGGTATCAGAAGTGTGACTAGAGCCTGGTAATGCACGCAGCGACAATGTAATTACATTTGGTACCAAAAGACAATTGGTACAAGTTTTGCAGGGGGATATCAAACATTAGAAAGGAAGGTGGAAAAGTGCAGTTTAAAGGAAAGGAAAAAGGAAGCAAGAGGAAGACGAAGAAAGCTATTAATGTCAAAAAATGGATACGAGTAAGCTCAGACTATATCAGTGTAAGTTAATAACAGAGTGTAAACGAGAAGGATGGAAAAAGGCAAGAAAAACATTTTTGAGCAGATATTTTAAAAGGCAATTTGATCCAAGCATGTCTGAAATAGAAGACTTTAGCAAATGGAAAGTCAGCTGAGTGACACTTACAAAAGCGACAGGCCAAATATAAGGTGGATGTTAAAAGAAAGGGAAGAAGGAATTTGAAGAGGAATTAGCTAATGACTTGAGCAACAGTGTTTTGTACAGCCACCAGAAAGAGAAAGCTTGAGGGAAGGACAGTAGCCAGAGGGACCATGAGGGAAACAGAACAATTAAGGAGGAGAAGGGTATCGCTAACAAGCTAAACAGTTCTTTCATATCAGTTCTTGCTGCTCAAGATGCTGGAAGATATTGATTTCCAATCTATATTTTAAACTATCAGAGAGAGAGACTAAGCGAAAGGAGCACGTGGTGAAACACACCAATAAATTCAACACCATCAATCCACAAATGTTTGATGGAAAATACATCTAGAAGCTCACATGAATGTGGTTGAGCTTCTAATAAAGGTATTTGATTCCCCTTTAAGATTATCGACAATCCTACACTATACATGGCTGGGGTTAGCAAGTAATGTACATATTTTTTAATGCAAGTAAGAAACGACAGGGCACTGAGTCTGTCATCACTGTCAAGTCTAAAGATACTAAAGAAATAGTTAAATACACAACCATCCTGCCACAAAGACTAAAGTGGTGTCATGTAAAAGCAGTAGCAGGCTTTGCAGAAATACAGGAATTAACAACAGGAAAACCTCTGGTGTTTGCCCTTCTCTTCTTGAGGCTCTGGAAATATCTCACATGAGGAAAAAAAACCAAGTGTCAGTCTGGATCTGTGATAGTTTTGGGGATGCATTTTACTTTTATTTCACATCAGAAAAGTGAAACCATCCCTAAGGATTTTTACAGAGTAAGAGAGAAATGTATAGGTAATGATTGAATTATAAAGGCATTGATCTGGAAGGTGAGAAATAAAGGTTCATCTTCTGAGTTTGGATGAGGCACCTATATCCTGTATGGCTATTTTGGCCCAATCTCTTGTTCTCTGGTTTATTAAAACACTGCACCCCACAGAAACCTTTACCTCAAGGAGACATTAGTTGACATTCATTAATTTTACTGAGAAGTTTCTCATTTCTCTGTTTTCAGGTAAAGAAAATGAAGCTGAACTCAAAAGATGGTGAAGGTGGCCCTTCTCTGGCTCTTTGAGAAAGCTTTATATAGCTGAAATATAAAAAGGGACACCAGAAGACAATGCTAGTCCTAGCTGTCCATATTTTTACCTGTATCCACCCCTTCTGAAACCTAACATGCAAAGAAAGTGGAAAAGGCAAAATTCTCTGAGATGCACCTTTTTTAAATTATTATTATTTTGCAAGGGCTCAGGCAAGGCACAACTCACATGAATGTGGTTTCTTCAAGCTGCTATTATTAAATCTGTTGCTTTTTTTCTCCTCTTCTTTGTTTGTGCAAGGCCATTGCTAATGGCTAATGATGAGATATTAATCAGAAGCATGACTGCTCTTAATTAAACCTTGCCCCATGTTCTCAGAGATACTGCTGGGAACAGAGGAGGTGGAAACCCCCTGTGGAAGAGGAAATACAACTTACACACACTCAAAGAATAATCCTCCAAGTCTAAAATGTGCTGAAGAGGCACAATGATCCATTCAGAGCAGTGTTTCCCTGTTGGGGAACGTTTTCATTCCTTGTACAAAAAAATACAAGAGTAGAGCGTAATATTTCAGTTCAAACCACGAAAATACTTTTGCATGTGGACGAGAGATATATGATGTATGTAAGGCACAGACATGTATTCATTTACATGCTGGATGTGAAGATTCTAGAGTCACCTTGCTTCTTTTCTTATGACAAAAGCATTTCTAAAACAAGACGGCGGTGTCCTTACATTGCAGGATGATCTGTTTGTGTCAAAAGCTGATTAGTAAAGTGCTAGATGACAAACTGCACTGAGCAAGGGGCTTTTGACCACAGGACCTGCAGTTGGCACATCTACTCATCTTCATCAGGATCCCTGCTAACGTGCTCTCTGTAACTTTATCCACATAAGAGTTTAACAGTTATGGTGTTGACTAAGAATTTCCATCTCTTCTCCTGCAGAAGAGATTTCTCTACAAAATTTTAGGGTCTGGAGCCTGGAACTTGGATAAGGTAATAATTCAACAGAGTATTAACAAACTTACAGTTCAATATATCACTGCCCTGCAGGCTTGGGAGATTCCAGACTTTCTAGGGAAAATAAAGAGCACTTTGTTTCTAGCCTTCAAAGTGCTGAAAGACAATACCTGAAAATCACAACACCACTATGTAAAAATGCTATTCCAGGTCATTGAGAGAAGTGACTAATCCTTTATTAGTTAAACTTGCATCACTCTGAACAGCAGTAGTCACTTATAGAGTTAGCTCCTCAGGGAAGCATTTTTCCTGTTATCTACATCAGTAAAGTCCTTGGTGATCAGCACTACCCTAAACCACTAATGAACAGTTCTTCAGGAATAAAGTGGTATCATCAGAGCTTTATAAGATATATAATCTGCATATTAAGCTTTAAAAATCTTTCTAATATAGTCTAAAAACATGGGAGTTTGATGTATGTACTATAAACAGAGATGTAATATTATTCATACTTTCAACAGTGTATTTACCTACAGAAAAGAGAAAGCGCAAAGAAAAGGAGAATGTAATTAGTAATTAGAAAATTCCGCCACTAGACTACACTGCTTCTAAACCTCACCTGCTTGCATAGATCCAGCTTGTGAGTCCACATGATATTTTTTAAGAACTGTTTCAAGACCAACTTGGATGTTTCTGCACTGTGAGATAGACATGTTCTGAAAAATGCAGCCTTCGAGTTTAACCACAGAACACACCTGCCTGCCTCAGGCTGAGGATTCTCACTAATACTGTAAACCCTTTCAGTGGGAAGGTAACAGTGATGCTAGGGTTTGGGTATTTAAAAAAAAAAAGTAAAGAGGAACTAGTTGAGATGGGTTCATGGTGACAGAGGTCAGATCTGTAGTACCTATTTCATTTCTAGGGGGAAGATCCTCATCTTCATGACTAGGATATCTCTCCTTCCGGTCAAGCAGAAGAAAATAAATCATTTTCTCTTGGTTTTCTCTGGAAAAAAACCAAACATACAACAAACTTTAAATTCTAAAAGAAAAAACCATCAACATGCACATAAACTCTTCTCGTCAAACAAACAGCTACAGTTACTTTAACTAAGCTGGAAATGGTTTTGTACTCGCTAGATACACAGTCCACAGAGCTTTTGAGAATCTTGCTATCTCCACCAAGCAGCTCGTGAGAAAAGGAATGATGATACCCATGTTGCACACACAGAACAGAGGCACAGGACAGACAAGGTAACGTGTCCACAGGAAGTCCAAACCGAGACTGGCGGCATGACCTACAGTTATTCTAACTAAGCTGGAAATGGTTTTGTACCCACTAGCTAGATACACAGTCCACAGAGCTTTTGAGAATCTTGCTATCTCCACCAAGCAGCTCGTGAGAAAAGGAATGATGAAACCCATGTTGCACACACAGAACAGAGGCACAGGACAGACAAGGTAACGCATTCACAGGAAGTCCAAACCGAGACTGGCGGCATGACAAGGCTCCTGAGCCTCAAAGTGCTCTCTCCACTACATCTCTCTCCTCATACTTTAGGAAACAGACCAGCTCTCAGATGTAAGATTGAAATAAATAAAAATTTGACAACAAAGGCGTATCCAACACAAATAAGAGCAATACCTCCCCATTCGGACTGCATGGCACATATTTTCATGGAGCGACCTTGCCTGGCAGCAAGTGAAGAGACAGCACCATGCCTCCGTTGCTGGTCTTGCTGTGCGCTTCTGACACACAGCGTAAGAAAGGCTCAGTGCTTGCTCCCAACACCTCACTAGCACACATGCAGCCAGAGGATGAGAAGTTGCTACTGGTTCCTCACAGTGAGATACATGTTAAAGTGTTTTCTGCCTCTCCCCAGGTTTATATACATCCCAGCCCATGCACACCCAACTGTATAAGACTGAGCAAGTGCTTACTCTTCCGACAACAAGTCCTGTAGGAGTTTGTTTCGGTCACGGAAGCAGCCTAACGAGTGCATGCTATCTAACACGTCTGGATCAATATCCTCCAAGGAAGGTAGAGAACGAATCTGCACCTTTCGAGGGATTGGTTGCTCTGGTTCTGGCTCATTCTTACCCCCTCTGCAGAGGAAAGAAGATGAGAAAGGGGGGCAGGGAAAGGAGGAGAGAAAAGAAACATGAGTCACAAATGAACCCCGTACTCTGAAATATAGCCTGCAGCAACAGATGGAAATAGCTTGTTAAATTCCCACTGAGAGACCAGAGCTCACAACCAGACACATATACTTTCCAAAAGAAACCACTGTGAAGGCTAAGAGTGACCAGCACCTTGTGGATTTGGGTCTTTAATGAGAAATGTCTGTGTTCAGTCAGAAATGCGGTAGGAACTTCATTTACCAGTGCCCTCGTAATTTAAGAAGCTGTTCAGCATCATAATGCCAAATATTTACAAAACACTATGGGGTTTAGAGATGCTGTCTCATCAGCAGGTCAGACTTCAGGCTATCGGGCTGAAAAGTGCAAGCTGGATGATTCTCTTTCAAAGAAGCAGTTGAGAACAAACCATCACTGTTTTTCACCAATGCTGATTACAACTGGCATTGCAGCAGTTTATGTCTTTGAAGCTTCCAATGTGAATTAAGAGATCTCAGTGTGCAGGTCTCCACTTGACACATTTCAAAGGGGTTTTGGGGAAACCAGGTGGTTTATTTACATGCACAAATAAAATTGTGTCCCAAATGCGATGCCCGAGGTCAGTGGCATACCTAGGAATACACCACTAGTGGTAGAGCATAATATTCTTTCAAAAATAGTTAATACAGGCTTCTTATCTCATCCCATTCAGTAGACTCAGGAAATATTGATTATTCATTGCAATTAAAGGCCTTGAATGTATGAAACAGTTCAAGGTGTCCGAGTATCTTATAACCAACTGAACAGTACATATTGCAGGCACCCTGAATATCCTTTGATTTTGTTTAGGTAGGCAGTGAGCAATTTATGTAAACTCTACCCACCCAAAGAGGTGGGTTTGGCGGCTGTGGTATTTTGGTTGGAGAAACTGTCTACCCTGAATCTTTGCTATTTCTCAAAGGATGCTTTGTGCAATGTGGAGGTTTTCCTGCTCTGTGGGTAAGGTCCTCCCTTTCCTTTACGTGATGTAAATGTCTGAATTGGGGTCCAGGCTCTCAGGGAAATATTTAAACTGCATCAGATGTCAGCATTTGCTTTTTATGGGTCTATGTTTGGGCAAGAGATTCTTCCTTTTGGTGCTGGCAGAAATAAGGTGAACACAACTTGTGAACTTACACAGCTTAAAATACACTGGGCTCAGATGTGAGCTATGCAAGTACCTGCACAGAAAAAGGAGCTACAACTCAAATGCTCCTCATTTTTCTTGTGTAGATTAGGAATCAACTCTGGTAGGATCATACACATGAGCTCAAGGTCTCAGCCAGTGTACCCAAAAGACAGCCAATGCAGATTATCTCCTCCAACATAAGAAGGCAATACTAAGCCATTGCAGGCAGGGCTCTGATGCTAAGTCAGGGCAGTTAGATGCTACACAGGAGATTGCTTGGTACTACCTGCAATTGATTTTTAAGCAAGCTGAAATGCAGTTGTGAGGCATCTGCTCTGTTAACCATGTTTGTGGACATCACCTGCAGAAAGACTCCTTGGAAATGCTCATTTTATCTTCTCTTGAAGCAGTGAAAATGTGCTCAGCCCTTCCTGGACACATGTCATGGAGTTAAACTCTGGTGTGTGTTACATGGGTCATGACAACATGGGTAAGATCCCACTTCTCTTACACTGAGCACTTGCACACACCCTGCTGAGTTTTATTCAGTTAAGGGGACTGGAAGCAGAATATACAAGACAGAGATAGAATCTGCTCCTTGGTATTCACTCTTGTGTGTCAAACCACTAAAACACAGCTTCTGATGGAGACTTGCAAAACTCTGCAATGACACTGTGGTCCTGAATCTACAGGTTAGATCCAAAAATCTCTGTCCAACTAAAGCAGCATCCTATTCCTTGAGTGCCCTGTCTTTAAGAGGTAGCTACTCCTACCATTTAGGGTTAGGATCTAGCTCTCGGCAAGTAATAAGCAATGATTACATTACAACCTTGCTCTACTAGAACCAGTCATTAAGATAAATTCTTGCAGGATGGACCTTTGAACAGCAGCTAAGTGGTTTGGTTTTTTTTAATGATCTGGAGTTCACTTTTAAAAAGTATTGACTTAATTACTCATTTGTTAAGTTACAAGCAGATGTCCTTAAGGTAACTTAAGGAGATTAAAAAGAATTACTGCTTTTGAAAATTGCCACAAAATCTGTGTTTTCTACTACTTGCCTTAATCTATAGCAGAATATCACCTGCAAGCTTCTTTCATATCAATCACCATGGGAGCCATTTCTAGAGAGCACAGCTTGCCATCTTCTGTGCACTCAAAAGTGGCTTTTCCTTACGCCTCGCACCTGGTCAGCCTCAGACATAGTCAGAAATTTTCACACATCCTCATCAGGTGCAAGGAAAATCTGTGAAGAGGTGCCTTGTCATTCGGCAACGCAACTCAGTGCTTTAGGAAATGAAAATCACTGGGTCTGGGCTGTGATTGGCATGGCTGTATTGCCTGTTCTGTTCTCAGTCTAGCAGAGAGTGACAAATTTGTTGCATTTCAGCCCACATAGACATCAAACAATGTCACACGATGAATACTGCAAATCACGTATATTTTTTAAAGGCTCACAGGAATGTAATTGCTGCTTTAAAACCCATCCTCTTTTGTGCATACAATGGCAGTGATGCTCGACCAGGGCAGACTTTTTCAGTCTCTCCATGAAATTCCCTCGTCAATCCCACTGAGATGCACATTTGCATCAGTGCAAAGCAGTGCAGAACTGGTACAGTTACTCGTTTTCTGATTCTAGTAAATTTGGTACCTTCACTGTTAGGGCAATAACTCAGTATTACAGGAGTATGTATTTACCATAATAGCTAATTGTATTTTCTTTTTGCCTTATCTAAAAAAATGTGAAAATATCTGCTGTTTATTTGCTGATTTATGGTAACCTGTGCTTGAGGTAAAAATTAATTAAGAAAGCTTAAAAAATCTTACTAAATTAATTTGTGTGGGAGAGCAGGAAGAGCTGGAGGTTGGTGAGGAAAGGTTTCTCTTTGGTTTCTTTTTTCCTTTTTTTAGGCTTGTGAATCATGATTTCAACTTTCAAGACCTCTGTCTCTGTGTGCCTAGTCTGTAATTAAATCTTTTCCCCAGTTTTATAGCAGCCTTAATTAACTGAAATAACTTCTATGTTCTGAGTACAACTTTCAGGTCAGTAACCTATATATGACAGGGAATGCGGATTTCACATAGAATAGTAGTGTCACATGAAGTAAGTAAAAAGTGAAAGATGTAAGCAAAACAGACACAGAGTAAAACACTTACAACCCCGCCTTCTCTGTCAGCAACAATATTTCCAGGCAAATTGAATGCAAAGAGGCTGCGAAACATTACCAGATGAAAGTAGTTGAGTTTTGGAGGTGGCAGGGTTACCAACAGGCTAAATTCAGCCAAAGGAGAATAACCTCCTTAGGTCAATCCATGACCAGTATAGAGAAAATAAGAGATTCCTTGAAAACAGCTATTTTTAGTAGAAACTTTGTTTTAGGCAATCTGAACAGGCTTCTGGGAGTGCCTCTCTCTCTACATTGACTACATTGGGAGTCTAGTGGAGACTTGCTTTTGCAAAACGAAGTTTCTACTTCTGAAAACAGCCTCAGGTGCCATTTCCATTGGGGTAAAATTGGTTTACTGTGTCGATTATCAGAGAGTCTAACCTTTATCAGGAAGTACACAAAAATGTTCAAAGACGTGTGTCTGCAAAGAAAAAAATCTTCAAATTCTAAATGTAGATTAAAGTCACGAAGTAACACCTAATTGTTCATGTGTGCCTGGGACAACAGTCCTCTGGCAGGTGAAAACTTCCAGGCAAAAATCTTGAGGAGGGTTAGAATAATAAGTGATGAACGACATTTCTTTTTATTTTACTTCCTATTTCAGTTCTGATCAAAGCACAGAGAAACTCAGCAGATTTCTCTCCATGAAGAAACAGAGGGGATCAGCTATCCAATCCGATGTAAACAGCATTTACTTCTGGAATTGTTAGTAAGGCATTATATGAGAGATACTTTAGAGATTACAATTAGAGATTCCCCCCTCCAGTTCTCCTACATTTATCCACAAGTGTATAAAAAAAAAATGCCTGAAGCAAACAACAGTCCAGTCCTTTGGTTTAAAAAGGTGCTATGTCAACTGGTAACTGCAGAGAGCATGATAAAGCCATGGGTAGAATGCTGCCACCATTTCAGGTGAACTAAGGAAAAAACATTATTCAACAAACTGTTGAATGCCCTCAGGTCCTATCGAAGCCAGATAAATCCAGAAGTGAGCATTGTCCGTAGCACAGAATTAGAGAAAAATAAACCAAATCAAAACAAAATTTGTGCCTTCTTCTCCTGGTGACAGGCTTAAATCAGCCTCAAGTATTTCCCAAGAGCAATTACACGATTAGGAAGGCAGGACTTTCCCTATCACCCACCTGGAGCACCTGTAGGTAGGCACACCCCTGAAGCATAATTTCCTTGTTCAAGATGTGAAATATTCTCCTTAGTTTATTTAGGTTATCATCAGTATTAAAAAAATGTTATTAGTTTTTTTGAAATACCATTAAGGCTACACAAAGTGCAAGGTCACTTTTAAAAGCCATCAATCTTTCTTATACCCAAACCACTAGACAGGCGTGTATTTTCTCACAGACCTCCTGTTTCACTGTCAAGACTGCTGCTTTTAATCAAGTCACAGAACTACTCTCACATCAACAGGTTACAAGGTCAGAAGCAGCCTCTTGGCTTGCTCCAAAGGAGGAGTAGGGATTATGAGACAGAAAAGCTCTTCTTCACAGGTGCTTACCTATCAACATCATCATTTTTGTTTCTACTTCAGAGAAAAGCCAAGACGTCAAGAAGAAAAAAAAGAAAGCTTTTTTTTGCTGATCACTTGCAGGTATTTTTTACACACAGAAGTAGCTGGACTGAACATCTTCTTTCAAACAATTTTTAGCCACAGTATAAAAAGTTCCTGGCTTTATGTATTTATATGAGATTATATGAGTAGCAAAGGGTAAAAAAAAATACATTAAAAAATATATAAAAAAATCAGACGCTTTTCTGCCCTCTGCCCCTTTCTCCTCCTGTGTGAAAGCTATTCCAGCTCTCACTTCAGAGATCACTAGACTATAAGGTCCCATAACAGAAACAATAACAAATGCATGCAAAGGTGAATTAAAAACCTGTTACTTACATATACCATATGTGTTTCTGAATATGTTCTAGCTGTAAAGGAAAAGAAAACAAGGAATTAATGGTGTAAAACAGCAAAGGTAACTCCACAAGACATCCTTATTCAAGGCTTATTTAAGTAATTCCAACATTCCAGAGCTGGATCTGTGCAAACAACAGGAACTTTATGCTGCATGAAGAGCATGCTTATCCTCCCCACCACACTAGAAACAAGACTATAATTCCAGACATGAGGAATCAGTCAGGTGCAAATCCCAGGAAAATGTGTAAGTACAAGGCTTCACAGGCAAGTGTTCTGGCACTTTAAGTTTTTTACTTTCTCAGCCCTTCCCCTGTACAACCTAACCGAAGCTACCAAACTGCTCCTTTCTGTATGTGCATTATAGCTGATTCCTTACACCTAAAGCTCATTTCTAGTTTTGTTCTGGAAAAAGACCGAGAAAGAAGGGAATATAAATGGATTCAAACAGACAGTGTGAAAAAAAAACCCAAAATAAATTGTGCATGTGCAATATGACCTTCTGCCAGCAGCCGTTCCTGATTGGCTTCACGTTTATCATTAAAACTAAAGACCAAGCAGAATAAGGTTCTATGTCTAAATACCATTTATTTTTCCAGCACCAGAACACCAGACTGCAAATTTCTTTTACTTTCCTTATTCCTGTTTCACTTGTGAGCATTTTACTCTGCAATGAAGGACTGATCAATGCTGAACACTGGCCTTGTCCACCTATGGAAGGTAGATCCCAGCAAACGTTACATGGTGACGATGTTTTCCACAAACACGGGGGCAAGCAGAGAGAACAAACTGTTCATACGACATACTTACAGCATAACCTCCCTAATCTTTTTTTTGAAGTATCATCACAGTACAAAAGAATTTTTCAAAGATGCCCAGGGATTATTCGTTATGTGGACAGTATTTCTCATATTCCTTATTATGAAGCCCCATTGTACGTGCAGAACACTATGCACACTCACTGCACACAGGCTTGTGTTTGTGCAACACGCAGGTGAGAGGCAGAGGAGAGCTGGAAGGAAACTCAAGTGCTAATAGCTGTAAGATGAAATCACAGACCCATTAAACTGGTCAGGAAGAACAGAAACAGCTGTCTTGCTCTTACTACTTTCCACTTCGATTCCAGAATAATGAGAATCAGAGAGAAGAAAAAAAAGATGAATGTACAAACAACAAAACCTCAGGAAGTAGGTGGTTGCCTCAGAGAACAAGGAATTGGAGACCTCTGTACTGTGGAAAACAGCTCTGTGTCTGGGAAACCAGGAACACCTGAGGTTGGCTCGATACAAGGTCATTTTTCAAGTGAGACAGGGCTTCTCCCGAAAGCAAAGAAACAAGGGAATACAGCTTAGGAAAGCATGACAGGAGGCTGGAGGGATCAGTATGAGAGACAAACGGCCTCCTTTAGAACCAAGACTGTATCACACTGCAGTCGGAGGTGCAGCTGGGACTTTAGATGTAGCTGTCTTCTAACCAGCCCAGGTGCTGGGAGCACAACATCCCCCAGCACACACATCCACGGGCCTGGGGAGACTCGCACAGTTTCCAGCTGTGGCCTCGGCTCTAACACAGTCATTCCCCTTTGTTACAATTCCCCTTGCATTACGTAGTCCTTTCATCCCCGCACTATTAAGAGAAAGGTGGACTACTCCTGACACACTACCAACTCCCCTGATGAGCTTAACTCAAGGAGGTCAGATACACATCACGGGTGTTCCCCACATGGCACGGAGACACAGCCCTCTTCCTCCTGGTTCTTTGCAAGATGAGGTACAAACACAGACTATAAGAAGAGCCTCTTTTGTACAGTTTCCATGGGACAGGATTTTAGCATGGTTACTTATTAGGTCTATAGTACTGTGAGGATCTGCTAAGGAGTGTACTGTTCCTCCGCTGCTTAAATCCACCCTATGAGATGCATATCTATTCATTGTTTCATATGCACCACATGGAAGGTTAGAGACATTAATGATTTCAGACAAGATGCAGATGATACAGCTAAGTGATGTCCAAGCCTCTTTCATGCTTGCTTCTCCTGCTTCATTTTCTGTCTTCATGGGTCACATTGTTCTTTTGTGCCTGTGATATGCAGAAATGCCATGGCATAGCAGACAACAGCACTTCATTTTCTGAGTCAGAGAAGGGGAAGAAAGGAGAGTCACCAGTTGTTGTGGTTTAGGCCCAGTGCGTAACTGAGCACCACGATGCCCCAAAAAGGGGGCTAGTCAAAATAAGGACTGGGAGGGCCTCTCGCCACTTAAACGGTCACGGGCAAAACACAGACTCATCATAGGGAGAAAACAAAACCATTTTAATTTGTCACGAACAGCATCTGAGTAGAAGAGTGAGAGATACAACTTAAAGTCAAAACACTGTTCCCCTACCCCTCCCTTTTCCCCAGGCTCAGCTTTTGTTCCCGGTTTCTTCACCTCAGGGCACAGAGGGGGTGGGAATGGGGGTAGCAGTTGGTTATGCAGTGTGGTCCTTCAGGGGAAGGCAGGACTCCTTCCAGCCTCTCTCTGCTTCCAC